CCGGGGCCCCGAGGGGGGAGCCCCCCCCCCGGCTTGGTGCCTGGGGCGGGGGCAGAGCCGGCTCCTGCCGCAAGCAGTGCGTGAGAGGGCCTGGGGCAGCCCAGCTGGAGTGCCGGTGGTGTAAGGAAGCTTTGCTTGGGCACCGGGAGAGAAGCCCAGCTTAAGAAATCTGTGCTCAGGCTGCAGTCAGATTCCTTGCGCTTAACTGTGGCTCTGAAGTCATGCCCTGCTGTCAGGTCATAGATGTGTAAGAGCGGTAGCATTAAGATTTTTGCAGAGCCGTTAAGTTTTTTGATGTCTCTAAATCTAGATGGTCACCAGGACAGAGGGTCAAATTGATGACTCTCTAATTGGTGGCAATGCCTCTGCTGAAGGTCCTGAGGGAGATGGAACAGAAGCCACGGTCATAACTGGTGTTGATATAGTAATAAACCACCACCTTCAGGAAACCAGCTTTACAAAAGAATCCTACAAGAAGTACATCAAGGACTACATGAAAGCGTAAGTATTAGGCTTTTCCTGTAAATGAGATTGCAAAATTGTTAGGTTGTTGAGATTTTTAAAACAGTGTTGAACTTTATTCCTAGTAGGTGTTAGTTCTGATACAGGTGCCAAACTGGCTGTGAACTTCAGTAATGTCTTAATACTTGGCAAAACTGGAACTCTAAAGAATTGATACTGGAATATCTTAAGTTTATTTTGGCTGAGGTAGAGGACCTGGTCATGTGCTTTGGATATTATTTGTAATGTTGCTGTTTGTTTTCTTTGATTCCTCCATGCCAGACCTTCATGGGGAAGGGGGTGGTAGGTAGGGTGGTAAAGAAAGCTTTAGGAAGCTTTTCTAACTTGACTGTTTAAATGTCCAAATATAATGTGTGTGAATGGAACTTCTTGTTAATTCAAAGTATAATTTATGTTGCTTAGTGTGTTAGCATTAAAAGTGAAAACACTTTCTTTGTGATACTGATGGATAGTACTCTTGATGCTGTGGAAATGGCTTGCTAATTTTTGTCTACCGCTAGCCTAGAAGTAAAATGAGCTTGATATGAGTGGCAGGCACTGCTCTGCTAATTCACTAGTGAAATTAAGTTAAAATCTGGGGGCTTTGAGAGGGAGAGAGGGAAAAGCAGCAAAATCAACGTTTGACTACTAGTAACTCTTTCTGCTATGATGTGATGCTGCACAATGAAGTTACTAGGCTAGAATATGTTTTCAGAGGTTCTTTTTTTTTTCTCCTTTCCAGAATCAAAGCCAGACTTGAGGAACACAAGCCAGAGAGAGTAAAGCCTTTCATGACAGGGGCTGCAGAACAAATCAAACACATCCTTGCTAACTTCAAAAACTACCAGGTAATGAAACTTACGTCTCCTTTCAGCAGTATTGCAGTGATACAAGCTGCAATTGGTTCATCTGCTGAACTACCGTGTGGAGAGTTTTGAGGGCTCCTGTGGTGAGGACATCCAACGTACCCTTCTAGGAGAGTATTAGGGGCTCCGAGAGTCAGGGAGGAGAAATGGTGAAAGACTCGTAGGTGTTTGGGGATCTCATGTCAGCTTGTGACACTTGTAGTTAACTGCATGTGTAGTTACCACCATTTAGGAACCGTGGAGTTAGAGACTTGAAAGATGGATCACTTTGGCCCCTCTTGTGTCTTATTGTGCTGTTCATAGCAGTGTGGTAAAGTTATGTGGTACTAAAATGGACAAGCTGCAGAAAGTAAAATCCCTGCAGCTGGTCGGGGAGACCTTTAAACTGAACTAGTAGATGTTACAGCGTTCTTGTACAAAAGGCACTTTCCCCTGGTAGTAGCTCATTAAATGTCTCAGTAACACATTTCTCTGAAGTTCTTTGTAGGAGAGAACATGAATCCAGATGGTATGGTGGCTCTCCTGGATTTCCGCGAGGATGGTGTGACCCCATATATGATTTTCTTTAAGGACGGCTTAGAAATTGAGAAATGTGTAAGTAACAGACCTGAATTGGATCAATGTGCCTAACTACATGATTACCTCTTTCAATGCATCAGTTGTTCTGTCGCATACCTGTTAAGGTTAAGCAGTAACTGCCAGTTTAAAAACTTAAAGTTTGTGTAAGTACGGCCTAATTGCTGCTTCACGTTATACAAAGTGGCTGAAACTTCCCTTGTATGCTACTGAATCATACTCAAAGGGGACGTAGTTTCACTGCAGTGATTCATTGTGACTTAATGGCTCAGAAATGCAGAAGAGAATGCCTTGGTGAGATGTGTGTAATTGGTAATGGTTTTAAACTACTAGATTGAAGACAATGTCCTCTGAAATGGAGCACTTCTACTTTGGGTCCCTCTTGTGGGGGTTAATTCTGAAGTGCCTTACATGATCACGTTTCATCTTCTTTCACTTAATCTGATGCCCTTATTTGTTATGCGAGAACCATCTGTTTAAATATTGCCCTAAATTTGGGAACATGGTAATACTTGACTGAATACTTAACCTTATTTTATCTGGAATCTCGAACTGCCTGAGCTCAGGCAGCTCCTGTGGTCTGCTTTCTCTTTAGTTACTGAGTTGGAACGTGGTTGCAAGGAAACAGTATTTGGATTCCAACACTTGCATTTTTTTTGCTTGTTCTGAGAGCTGTGGAATTCACTGCAGACTGGCAGTGTGGGATCACCAATTGCTTTGCCCAGTCATTGTGGACTTACGAAGCCTGTTTATAGCCAGCTAAATTTATCTGTAAAGCCTCTTACAGGCTTTCTGGTATGCAAGTCATGTAAAGATGAACCAAATTCTAGTGTGGAGCAGTGGCCCCACTAGAGGAACGCTTGTATTGGCCCAGACACACCACCTCCTGCAGCTTGACCGAAGGGTGATGCCTGTCATGGACCCTAGAACAGGCAGTCACCTGGAAGGTACCTCCTTGGAGCAGAAGCTTGGGTGCATCTCTCCTACTTGCTACTTGGGCAGACCTTCTGGATCTGTAACTCAGATACCCCATCCTGAAGTAGACAGGGTTAAACGAATAGTAGGGAGGCATTCCACTGGGCAAAAACTGCTCCAGCTTCTTGCTGCAGCTCTTGTAAGACATAACATGTACGTTGTAAGCTTTAGGACTTGCTTAGGACATGCTCTTATTTGAGAGGAAATCTGAAACCTGACGTGTCAAGCAAAAAGGGTGTGAATGAGTCTCTTGTCTGGCTTGCTCAGCAGCTGATGCCAGTTGCTCTGTATGATTGTAGAGAAGCTCAGCATCCTCTGATAGACCATGAGCACTTGTCCTGTTGCTCTCTGGTTTGCACTAAGATGCAAAAATAACTTCCTTGCGCTTTCTGCCTGCCTGACTGTGGCAGCTCAGATTGAATTAGGGAATACACGAATCGGTTATGGAAACTTACCCTGGCTGTCATGACCTTGAACTAACACTTGCTACTCTCGTTTCAGTAACAAATCAAACAGTATGGATTTGGATCACCTGTCTTCATAGCTGGCTGCTGTTTCTTCTTCATCGGCACAACACCAGGAATTGGCAGTGTCTAACAACTGGACTGATGTCATCTTGAGCTTTATTCACTTACTTTGACCCTGATTTGGAGTGGAGGCATTGTTTTAAAAAAAGAAAAAACCAAACATCTGTCATGTAGGTTGTCTAAAATAAAACTCATTTAAACCCATTCTAGGTGATGCCTTTTGGTCTAGTGTGTTTCTTAGGGTGCCTTGCAGGAGAGGTTGCAGCAAGATGTTTGTCCCAGGATTTGGTACTCTCAGTAGTATAGCCTGGTCCTAGCGCGCTACAACTTGACTGTCTCCAGGCAGACCTCGCGTAGTTTCTACCTGTGGCATTGGAGTGCAAGAGCAGGCTGAGGGGAATGAGGCAAAGCTCAAGAAATGTCATCGTAGTGGAGTGGACCTTCTTCATCTTTCATGATTGCACAGGGACTTCTATCTCTGGAACCAGATACCAAAACTAGTAAAAAAAAAAAAAAAGCCCAACAGAATGGAATATGTGCTACTTAGGCTGAGTGCTGGCTGAGTTTCTTTGTCAGACAAGGACACTTGAGTCTGTCCTCAGCTGTACTATGACTTCAGGATTAAGGTAGGAGGAGGGATGGAGTGTTAGTCTAACACCAGCACTCCATCTGAGCCCAGGTAGTGGGAACATGGTGGGGAGGGGGTGAAATTCCTGGGTTGTCCAACACAGCCTGGCTGTGGCACTGCTCCCCTGTATTTGACAGCTACTCGGGAGCGGATTAACTAGAACTCAGTCAAGTTACAGGATTTGGGTTTTTCCTGTACTTGCCGTCTCCTTGGGGAGAGAAATGTCAGAATGGCCTAGCCCTGTCCTAGGCTTATCACAAAGCCAGTGCATGTCTGGGCTTGAGACTTAGGTAAGTTTCAAGTATTTGGTATTTATAACTTCTGTTCCTGCTGTGTTCCTTGTTAGGAAATGCATCTGTTTGACAGACCTGGAGCAAACGGCCATTGCTTCTCTGGTTCTTGCTGAGATGCAACAGTAACGGGTTCCTTGCGCTTTCCACCTGCCTGACCTCGTGGCAGTCTGGATTGAATAAAGGAATACAGATGCCTTCACGGAGCCCCAGCTGTGGCCAGGGGGTTTGTGCTGCCGCTGGCAGCAGGGTTGTGTGTGCCTGACCAGGGATGCTGCCTTGGACAGACACGAATACCAAATACCGGTTGTTAACTGTTAGGGGTATAGGAGCTGAAGGTGCCTAAAAGGGGAGGGCATGACCTGCTCGCTGGCTGTTGATCTGTGAGGCCTTGGGCCTCCGCTTCAGCAGAGTTTTGGCATCTTGGCTGTCTTGTGTTGGGTTTTGGCCCCTGGTGCCGGAGGGCGGAGGTGGAGGTTTCCGCAGGGGTGAGATAGATGCGGCAGTGGGACGGGAGGAGTGAGATACTGCCTGGGGAGGTGGGAGTGGAGTGCGCCCTAGTTATCTTGGAGGTTCCTGTCTGGTTTAAACACACCCTATTTTAGTGCTGTGGGAACTTCATTTACATATCTATTTTTTTAGCTTTCCCAAGAAAGGGTCTTGGGCCAGCTGCACTTCTGGCTGAGGTACAATTTTGGTGTAATCTGAGCAATGTAAATTAATGCTCCTCTGCCTTCACCCAATGGGGCTGAAAGGCAGGGAGGCAGGTTCAAAGCCTGCATAAAATCACTGTGAGCCAGCTCTTGCTTTCCTTGCAGAGGGTTTGTTTAATGGGGCCAGGTGAGGATGCTATCTTACCCTTCCTGTTGCATCTTTGTTAAAAACTGGGAGCCTTAAAGGAAAGGGAGAGTAAACACTTGCTTAGTTTGAGACTTGTGTCTCGGAGGAGGAAGTTTAGCGTGGGCAGGGCAGTGCTCACATGGCCGTGCAGCCCCTAACACCCCTGGCTCCCACTTGCAGTGAGTCAAAGCGTTTAAAACTGAGCAGAGCTGGGATGTGGGAGTGAAACAGCTCTTCCCCCTGCCTGGCTAGTTGTGCTGAGGCTGGGAACCCTGGGCACAAGCCTGGAGCAAATTGCTGTGTGGCAGCTGCGTAGAAATGATGAGGTGCTGCTTTGAAAGGCAGGTGCTTAGAAGCATGATGAGCACAGTGTTGGTGTTGGGTTGAATAGCTTATGGCAAACTGCGTGCCATCCTGTCTGTACTCCAGGCTAATTGGGATATTTAATTGGTGTGTGCAAACATGCCTAACTAGTGGGTTACACATTCCTAACAGTGTCATATGCTTTTCTGCATGGTGGAGCCTCTGATGGGAAGTCTTCTCTCAGCCTGTTGTAGGAAAGTGTCAGTTCAAAGGCTCTTGAGATGCAGGATTTTGTTCTGCTCTTCTCTCCAGTGAGCTGCAAGAGAAGTGGTTTTGCTCCTGACTGTGCCATGCTTCCCAAAAATGCATTGCTGCTTTCAGTTTCTCAGGGAAAAGGGCAAGTTTTGCCGCTCTGCGGTGTCAAGCCTGCCAGGCACCAGGGAGGAGAGGTTAAACCACACTCGATGGCAGGGAAGGACCGTGGCGGTGACAAGCGGTGGTCTCAGCTGCACTGCTGTAGTAGCTGCCTGCAGTGGAGGCAGGGCGAGGGAAAGTCAGGATCCAGCCTCTTGCGTCAGGAGTTGCTACATGCTGTTAAGTGGGAGGCCTGTGGCTGGTAAATGCACTTGTCAACAGTCCGTGACGCAACTCTCCGAGTTGGAAATGAAGTCAGTGTATTTCCTTGTAACCCAATTCCTCCTCTTCTGGCCCCTCTTCATTTCAAGCAGCTGTTTTCTGGGGCTGAAAAGCTAAAGTGATTTGAGAAGGCAAGGCTTCATACTGCTGTAATGCTACAGCTTTGGAGTTATTGAATTGATAAAAATCCCCCATCATAACAAATGACCCTGGTGCTGCTTAAACACAGCTTGAACTGAAGAACAGCTTTAAAGCCTATCCCCATCTTGTTTTAAAACATGCTTATCAGGCTTGTATCTTGCATTCCTGGGAAGGTATTTTCCATGGCTGGAAGGGCCTGTGGAGCTGGGAAGGATCCAAATAGCTCTTCCCCCAAGCCTCACGGAGCAGGTTAAGCGGCTGGGTAGAAACCTTTCCTTTGCTGGCTCAGGTCTCAGCCCGGACACAGGGCCAGGAGGCTGCTCCTGCACCTACCACAAGCTGGCTGCTGGCAGGGGAAGGAAGGCTGATTGCTTATGAAGAGGGGAAAAAACTCCCTCTTTAGTGTCTTGTGGTTAAGGGAGTGATGTCTTGGGGCTGGAGGAAGCAGCTACTGTGCTGGGCACATGTCCCGTGGGTCCTTTGGCCTTTCGCCCTCACAGCCCACCGCTCCCCCTCAATGCCTGCTCTTTGTCTCATGGTTTTGCTGCCTAAGCTGGGTCTTGCCCCATCTACAAATCTACTCTTTTGCCTTCTCAAAGCATCCCCGCAGCATCTTCAACCCACAGCTCATGTGCCGGGGTTCAGCCAAGCACTGGCAAAAAATCCCACCTCCTGCGGGCCAGTGACTGTGCTGTTAACATCCGAATGCTGCTGCAGCAGCTCGTTGCTTCTCGGCTGCCTGCTTTGAGGAGAAAGGGTGCAGGCTTGGGGATGTTCATGCAGTGGAGGGAACATCTGGTGTGCTGGGAGAGGCGCTGGTGGGGCCATGGGGAGCTGGATACCCCTGTTGCCACCTCTTAGGTGCCCGGCCGAGCCAGCCCGGCTCTGGCCCTTTGTCCACTCAGCATGGCCAGGGAGTGGGTGCTGGAGCCCAGGTGGGTGATGGTCCTGGAGCCTTGTGTGGCCCTCAGCTTCAGCATGAGGAGGGAGAACCTGCAAAGGGAAAAGTTTAAATGAGAGGATGTAGGGAACAGAGTTGGGTTTGCTTTGTTTTGTGTTTTGTTTTGTTTTTATTTTGTTTACATGGTTGAGCTCAAGGCCAGGAGGGACTTACCATAAGCTTAGGTCATGGTTGTTGTCAGAGAAGTAAAATTAGATTATTTTTTTAAAAGAGATGTAGAAAAACATAAAGCTGCAACTTGCTTCCTTCCCTTAGCAAGTCTCTGACTGCTCAGCAGTCCTGGCAGTGTTTTCAGCGACAGCTGTCTAGGGAGGATGCTTTTATTAAACAGCAATAGTATCTTCATCAAGATAACCTCTGCTTTCTCACATGCTGCTGCTGGCTTGGAGTAGGTAAGATGCCTCCCTCTGCTCCCATGGACCTCCAGCTGCGCTTCAGCTCTGCAGCCACTTCCCTGGGATGTGGCTGCCATTGTAATCTGGGATGTTTTGCCCTGCACCCGCTGGCAAGTAAATCACATTGCCGCTAGCCCACAGTGGGAGAGCAGCAGTTAAACACCGTGTTCATTTAGCTTGGAGATGTCTCAGTAGGAGGGGAAAAAAAACCTAGCCAAGCCTGAAAGTCTTTGCCATAAACAGCCCAAAATCCATTGCTAGGAGTGCACGCATGCTGCTTTGTGGTCCCTGTGCCTTGGCTGGCTTTTGGTTGAAGCTGCAGCTGGAAGCTGTTGTGCAAAGATCACAGCCAAATGGCTGTGGCCAGGGCTGGGGCCTGGGGGAGCTTTTTTTTGGTGCCAGCAAATGCTGGTAACTGTGGAAGTGTTACGCAGGAGCATGGCAGGATGTTGTTGAGGATGCGTGTAGCTGCTGGGTGTTTTGAGTCATTAGGGCTGCATTTATCACCTTCCACTTCTGGCGCAAAGGAGCCAAAACACCCTTAAACTGATGCTAGGAGGCCTTTTTAGACTATTTTGGTGTGTGATACCAACCTTGCCAATGAGGCAGTGGCTGAGCTCGGTGAGAAAAATGATGAGCAATTGTTTCTCCGTGGCCCTCTTGTCATCCTGGGAGCCAACGGCTTGGATTCACCTCTCCGTCTGTAACCAGCAGCAGCAGCAGAAAGCACTGCTGGCATTTGGGAGAGCAGCCCTTTTCCTCCCATTCTCAGCAAGGTGCAGGCATGCCAGCAGCCCTGCCAAAGCAATGCAGCTGTTTGATTTTTATAGGGAATGTCCAAAAAACTCAATGTCCAGAGAGGATTTAAGAATTAGCTTCCCAAATCCTTTGTGATACAGTAGTTGAGAAAAGACCACATAAAGCTGTCTGCTTCCTCCCTGCCAACTGTGGATGCTCAGCTGGCAAAACCCCTTGCTACTGGAATAGTCTGGTGCAAGGGCTAAGGTTCATCTCCTCTACCTACAGCTGTGTCTGCGCTGGAGCTGGGCACCCTTGGCCCCTCCAGTCAAGGCAGGGAGGGATGATTTCCCTGCCTCCTGCAGCTGTGTGGTTGCAGCACCATAAAACTGCCTGCAGCTGCTGGTGCTTACCCAAGCTGCCCATGAAAAGGTGTTTAAGGGGGCTGGCATAGCCCTTCACCCATCAGCTTTGGCTGCCCTGGCTCAGTGGCTGCCTCCTGGCAGTACGTGCCATCCAGTTCACTTGTCATGGTGGGGCTAAGAGTGGTTTGACTCCCGTAAACCCACCTGAGTTTTAAGCTGAAAGGGCAAGATAGCTGCCCACAAGTAGAAGGGGGTTTTGTGTTCATGGCCACCTTGCTTACTGCAGGCCAGGCGGCTTTGGGAAGGACACGCAGGAAGAAAATCCCATGTCTGGGGGTGCCTGGCCTGGTGGACCCTGCATGGATGCAACCCTTGCTTCTTGCTGCCTCTCCCATTGCTGGAGTATAAATAGCCTCTTCCTGGGGCTGGGCTTGGCCGGGCAGTGGAGGAAGGCTTTTCAGGAATCCATACTGGGTTTTATGTGAGCCTCTCTGAAAGAAAAAGAAAAAAGAAAAAAAAAAAGACCTTAAATTAGACATGTGAAGCCTTGGTCAGGTTGATGCCATTTCCCTCCCCCAGTACTATCAACCCTCCCTGTGGAAATCCCACTCCCAAGAACGAGCTTCAAAGGTAAAACTAGTTAATGGAGTAGAGGTGAAAAGAAGCAGTCATTCCCTTCCTTTCAAGAAAGGCAAGTACTGCAGCTTCCCCCTTATCCCATTTATTTGCTTATAATTGCGAACACACCAGCTGCAAAAGCCCAAACCCCTGTGTGACACTAAGAGCAGAAAGTCCCTCTCTTGGGAGGGGGACTTGTCCCTCCTCCAAGGGACACATTTTGGCTGAGGTACTCCTAAGACCAGTAGGACTGGTACCAAGCAGCTCCTTGTGCTGAGATTTGCTGAGATGGGAAGGAGAAGAGGGTTGCTGTAAGTTCAGCTGCTGGTGCTTGAATCTCACTCATCACACAAGCCCTAGGTGAAGCCCTAGGTGTGGTCAGCTGAATGGCACCTGCGATCATTCACCCCTCTGGCTTCTGGGTGCCCCATGCTCCCCATCCAAAGATATTTACCAATTCCCTATTCCAAAATGCGATGTACTCCAAAATTTTTGTGTTTGATGAGAGGCTGAAGGTGGAAGAGTTTGACCTGCTTGAGCCTTAAGACACCTGCTGTAGCACCAGGTGCTGGGCTCTTCTGGAAAGGGCCTTTTTTGATCTTTTCTGCTGGAGTTTGTCATCCTTGTGCAAATAATTAAACACTCCCAGAGAAAGGCTGACCCTACAGCCTGATAGCCACACACAGTCTTGGTTAGGAGACCCAGGAAGAGTCCTCCAGTCCTGCCACTGGTATGAGCAATGGGGCAGGTTGCACCCAGCCACAGCTCTCTGAAAATCTCAAGGAGGAGAGCTATCTTCCAGGTGAGCCTGGAGCAGCAGCTCAGCTCTGATACTGCATTAGTGAGAAAAAGGATTTGTTAGGAGTCAATGAACGGTGACTAATGAAAAAAATGCCACCCTGGCAACAAGGACATGTGAATGTGGGTGGGCATAGCTGACACACGCAGGAGGTATGTTCAGCTGGAGCTGACTCCAAGCAGCTGGTGAAGACAATAGGTAGCTGACTCAAAGCATGGCTGACTTTAGGGACCATCCACTGGGACCAAAGCAGCTAGCGACCGCCAATCCCACTACGAGCTCTGTGTTGAAGATGTGGTGTAGGCAGCAGAGGTCTTGTAGCCACGTCGCTTCTTGCCAGTCCGCGCCTCATATTCACGCTTGGTACTTTCTGCTCCTGTTCCTCGTGGAGTCCTGCCTGTCCCACCAGCAGCCTCCGGGCTGGCTGTAGGCAGGGCTGTGGAGGAGGCAGGCGGATGGTGAGAGCTGTGAGCTGGCAGGGAGGGAAGCGGGGGCAGCGCTGGGACCAGCCTGTCCCATGCCGGGTTCAAATCCGCTCCCCTTCCCCACGTAGCAGCAGCAGCCTCCAGGCTCGCACCTTCTCACCTGTTCCCGGCCCACTGGCACGGGGATGTCTCTACTGGGGCAGTTGCATCGCTGCCGCCTTCCATCAGCTCAGGCCCATGCCTGCACCAGCTGGGCTTACAGAGTATAAAACTTCTGATGACTCAAAGAATTGGTCATTCGGGAGAAGTAATGCTAGACAGTGGACGCACTTTTAATCTCATTTAATGGCATTTAGCACATTGATACTTCTGCTTGTGCCTATGGGACCCGCTTGTGGACCAATGTTTCGACCACTGATAGTCAAGAACATCTGCACGAGCGGAGTTCAGCAGTGAGCAGAGACAGCAGCACATGGGAAGACCGGCAAGGAATCAGTGTTCATCACTGCTGTGAGTTCAGAGTTTAAATTAATCCAAATGTGGGGGCCAGGGACTCAGACTTGAACACCTACGAGCCTCCTCCTCCTCTCTCTTGGCATACGGCAATCCTGCTAACAGCACTTGCATAAGGTCCCTGCGCAGAACAAGCGGAGCGGAGCGGAGAGTTTTTGCTGGTTATTACATACTGGATCCCACTGAGGTTGCCCCAAATGCTAAATCATTACCGCAGCCTTGCATGAAGTTAGACTGATCCTGCAGTACCTTGAGCTACTGCAGAAGGGAGAATGTGGGGCCCGTAGCAGCCTGCTGCTTCTGTCTCTAGGGTGGTTTGTGCTGCAAGGCTTGGCTGCAGGCTGGATGATGACCTGCAAACGGCACCTAACAACTCCACCTCCATCTTGACTGTGCGCTCCCACCAGGCAGGAGAGTCCTTGAATGCACCATACGGGTCCCGGTGTCAGGGCAGGAGAGCATCTTTCATCCTCTTGCTCAGCACCCATCCTCTTGCTCAGCACCCCTGTGGGCTCGTTGTGCTCTTCTCTCATGCCACATGGATTTTGTGGCTGTTCTTGGGGCTAAAATTCCAGTTGCACACTAACAAGCTAGAAAGCCTTCAAAATCATGCAGGAAGCAGGAAAAAAAACGCTTCAGGATCTGCCTGGCTTCTAGACTGTCCACTGGATGTCTTTTTTTTTAGTTTATCCTGGTGTAACATTTCCCAGTTGTTTTTTGAAATAGTTTCTTCATCGTCCCGTTCCCCTTTTAGCCTGAAAACTGGCACTGCTCCAGAGAAGGCTGCAAGGGAAACAGGGCACCTTGGCTTTCCTCAACCTTTCTGTTGCTCGTTGGTTGAAAGCTCCACTGCTCGTTTACTTCTAGCACTCTCCATGTTTTTAATGATGCCCGTAAAAATAATTTTTTTGTAAAAAACATAAAACCCATTAAAAATGGCATGCTCTGTACACTTTCCATTACTGCTAAGTAGAGCCTATTTACCCTGTCCAAAGGCACTCTGCAGATCAATAAAATACATACTTTACTTAGATCTTCTGGCATTTCACACTGACTGATTATGTCCCTCTCAACTGAAGACAAATTGTGACGCAGTAAACTCACATAAAACCAAAAATAGAAGCAGATCCAAAATACTTTCCCGCTAAGCTAGATCCCACTAAAGGTAACCTTTTCCCTCTGAAACGGCATGGTCATTTTTACCTGTGGCACTGAATTACAACACTACTACATCAATCAGGATTGTATGGCATTCCCCTGCATGGTTTTAGAAGATCAAGTGAGGAGCAACATAAGGGAGAAGCTGACCTAGACTTCCCAGGTACCTTAGCTGCTCAAACAGGACACAAATTCAACAGAGGAGCCCAGCTCATGAAAAGCAAGAGTTCTCATCCTACACGGTTGTGAACACAAGTCTCTGGAGGACTCGAACAGCACAAGGAGGACAGCAATGCATGCAGGCTCTGGCTGTTGCTGGGGAGCACATCACATACTGTAGCAAGACATGAAGGCTGACCTCCCAGGTTCCTCTCAGCATCCTCAGATATCCCTGCAGCCTTTAGCAAGCTGGGTCCTGCTCATAGAGCCTGAGGAGACAGGAGTCAACGGCAATGTTTATGAAAGCACACACATGCATCCCTGGAATGCAATCTGCTCTTCAAAAGCTCTCAGTAGTCCGCCTCCTAGGAACTGGACACTTCATACCACAGGAAGCTGAGCACCAGCAGGAAGCTATCTGTAGAGAGATACCTACACAAACAATTCTAGAAAAAATGAATTGAGCAGAATTAAAATGTGTGACTTATGCGTAGGGGTCAGAGTTGTTTTACAAACCTCCAAAGGCATTTGGCCCCCCTCCAAACCTTTCACTGCTTCCAAGAGGACCAATAATGGAACGTTTGCTTTTCACGCAGACCTGTTATTTTATTAGCGTGTGCAGAAGTGATGCACACAACTAAAGGACCTGAGGGAATGTGAAAGTTGTGCTATGAAACCTCACCTTCTGCTTCATTTACAGGTATACTAATGAGTTTTTTTCCACTCTGTTTTCTTTGCTCTTTTTTTTAACATAAATGCTTTGAGAACATAATTAAATAGTCCCGTCCCATCTGCCTCAGAAAAAGGATGCTGAATAGACAACCCTTGCAATGGGCATTTCAAAAATGGGGGAACAGAGACATGGGTACGTTAAGCAATCACAAAACACACAGAAACCCAGTGGCAAAGCCAGCAATAAAAACATGGTTTGAAAAAAAATGCTATCTATATCATAATGTGTTCAGTCAATAATGTAGAACATTGCGTGGTACAAATTAAAATAATGCTTTTATTGATATGCTTAAACATAAAACATCAGTAACAACATAAAAAACAAATGAAAGATAAGTCTATTCCTTGATGTACCTAACAGACAGACATTTCATTTTTTTTCTCAGTAATCACCTGGAGGGGACTGTCATCTTCCCACTGACCTGTGTATTGAACAGCCTTTGCTTTATGGGTTTTTAACTGTTGATTTGTTCCCATGGAGTCTAAGGACTGTGATAAGCACCACGGTTGTGGCTGTTTTTCCTAAAGCCCGATCCCAAAAGGAGCATCCTGTCCGTTCCACCCAAACGCTGCACAAAGGGTTGTGTACCTTTACAGCCTTCCAGATGAAGCCCTGACAGATCCCAGCAGAAGTGAGGGTATTAACCTGGTTCCACTGGAATGCAAACCCACAAAGTTACGGGTTCCTCTAGGACACGTTTTCCTTCAAAGTCATCAAGGCTTGGAAAAGCCACAAAGCTACCAAGAAAAAGTAAGATCAGAACTCAAAAGATTTCTAATAAAGATAAATCTAATACAAGTTTATTCTATAAATATTTTTTTCCTGTCAAAAGACAAAACACTTATAGAAACATACAAGAAATATTCCTTGGGAAAAAAATGAAGCTATGGAAAATTACAAAGTATCAGCTGCTTTAATTTAACTTGAACCTTGCAGAATTGCGCTGTGCTTAGTCCTGTCTGTAAAATCACCGTGGTTCCCTCAGTGCAATCACTCTAATTCTCTCTTGCTTCATAAATGCTTTTGTTAATCACTCTTGTCTTCTCCTTGATAGTGTCTGTATTCTGGCTTTAGCTCCCATGTGTTTTTGTGGGTCCCCTTCACGTTGTAGATGCCTATTTCTCTTAAAATTTCTTTCAAGTATATCTGAAAGGAAAAAAAAAAATTCAAATTATACAGGCAGACAATTACCGCAGTTCCTACACAACATCTCAAGATCTGCTCAATCACATCAACTCGGTTCATAAAAACTACCAGGTGGACAGTGAGGTTGGCTGATCAGCACTAACTTGTGCGGTAACGACTCCGTGATAGACTTCAATCCCCAGGCACCACGGGGGATTAGAGCAGCCCGGGTGTAATGCCCAGTGTAAGCCTCAGGGATGCAGCAGCAAGGAGCACCTGCGTCCCAGGGGTGATGGCTCCTGGGCAGTCCCTGCGCAGCCCTGCCAGGGTGTGGAGAAGCTGGTACTAGCTAGATGAATTGCTCCATGGGCTGCTGAAACGAAGCTCCCAGCACCTCTGGGAAGGCGATGCTGAGGCTACTGAGACCTACAGCAGTAGCGCCCACCCACGGAGGAGCTAGTGGAGATGCTCTGCAGCTCCTGTCTCAAGACGGGGCACTTGCAAAATCAAAAGGCTGCGATATGCCCGACGTACCCTGAGTATCAGATCCGCAGCTGGTCCAAAAATCTGTGTGCTGTTAGGTTTCTCACGTGACTGCGGAGGAGTGGGGACACGAGCAGGCTTTCTGCCCTGGGAGCCTGCAGCCGCCACAGACAGCGAGCCGTGCGGGCGGCCGCTGTGCACGAGGTTGCTCCCCGGGGCGGTGGGACGCAGCCACTGTGCGGGTCTGTACATCACCGTTACCTCACACATCTTCCTCCTGCTGCAATTTCTCCATGTGAGATAAAAGCTCTTGGCTTTTCATCTTGCTTGGGCTGGGATTATCTTGAAACTCCCTGCCTTATTCAGACCCCATCAAAGACCTGAGCTGTTGGTTTTCATGCCATTTTGCAAAGCTTTAAGCATTTTATTATGGTCTCGTTTTTAGAGGAGAGCTGAGTAGGTACCAGAGAATTTTCTAATACATTCAAATATTAAGGCTAGGAAGAGAAATAAAAAAAAACCCAAGCAAAGCTATGATACCAGTAGTATAACCTTTGACACAAGACAGCTCACTAATATCGCCCGCCTTTACTCTATAATAAACACTACTAATTTGTTTCATTTTTTAAAGAGCTGTTTGCCTGCTTGTTTGTTTAAATATTAATCGGGACTGACTTGAGCGGATTGCCATGGCAACCACAGACCACAGTTTGAGAATCCCCACATTAAATTCGTAATTGCTTTAGTTTGAGCAATTTAATCCTCTTTGAGAGCATATATTGAACTGGAGTTACTGGAACCCTTTTATTTACTGTATCCACAGTTCCACTGAGTGCCAATATCAACATACTCCAACTCATTAAAAAAAACATAATGATGACATAGGAAAAAAGGAAAGGCTGGTTGCCCAGTCTCTTCCTTACACTCTTCCCATTTTTTGCTAAATGGAAAAGTTGGGAAATAAATAAAAAGTATGTTCTCAGTCAGTAAAAAGTCTCTTTTAGAGAAACCGATCATTAGTCTCTCGCCAGGTACACAACAAAAATGTACAAAGCAAAAAAAAGTCCATATCCCATACTAATGAAGATACTTCATTTGGACTCATGTAGCAAAATTATTCTTAAAAACCTATCTGAAAGCGATGAGGCGTGTTTGTCCAACAAGTAAGAAAGATGACCGTAACAGACTGCATATACAAACTAGTTTCTTAGGGTCTTTTCTTCAAGGAGAGCGGCAGCACGCCAGGAGCCGTGAGCGGGGAGTTCATTTTGCACTGCGGGGATGGCTATTCAGTCTTCGAGGGCGCACGATGCAAACCCCAGCAGGTGGCAGCAGGAGATCAATATACATCTCTTAGCACACCTTTCCACATCTCATCTATTGCGGAGATGCTGTCACTATTTGAGAGTCAGGTACCTAAGACAAACCTACTCACTACAACAGCAATTAGCGCGCAAATGTTTTCGTGCGACGACGCTGCTGTTGCGCAATGCATTTTTTAAAAGGGGGTGAAACCAGGTGAAAAAGCGATTTCTACGTGGGTACGTGTCGATGTGTATACCTGCATATCCACTGCTTTGTTTGCAATCGTTGTGCATGCACACAAGGTAGCTTTCAGTAGTGTCACTGACAGACACTTCAAAAGATGGCAGAGTGGGTGGAAGAAACCCTCAGATTCAAGGTTAAATTCTGCTCTAGACCACACAGATTAATAAGAATTGCAAAAAAAAAAAATATAACTGCACTTAGTCCCATGAAGTACATCCATATGCAGTTGCTGGGCTGAGCGAGCTAATCTGCATCTGGGAAGCCAGGTCACAAGGGGTGACGATGCCGCAGGACTCAGGCAGAATGAAACCGCTACGGCTGCGTGGTCCACGGCTCCCGGCGGCTCGCTGCTGTTGGGTGGCAGAATCTTTGGGTGACATTTTGCACAAGGCAGTTCTCACCTCTCACTACTTGCTCACGCCTACAAACCACCCCCCCAGTTAAATGAAGGTTACTTTTAATTTCAACTCGTTTTCAGACCCAATTCCCCAGGCAGTTCTGCTTCTCTCTGGGCAAAACTTCCACGAGTTTCAATTCAACAGCATAACAAAACGGAACAAAACCAACCCGAACTGAATAGCGAGGTAACGTCTGTGCCACAAGTAAGGGCACTTCAAGCTGTGACCATGAACTGCAGCAACTGAGGATTTGCAACATATTCCTATTTGCCATCTCCACTATGGGGGGAAACAAGCAGCAGTGGTTTTAGGGAGGGCAGCTGAGAGCGTTAACCCAAAAAAATCACTCTGTGTGCACAGACAACGCTGAACTGTTGGAGCTTTTAGACAATTACAAATCAGGGATAATCCCGCTGTACTGTACCATACTTGAGAGCCAGTGGCTTGATGAGATGAGTTCAGGTGACGTTATGATTTTTCCTCCAGGATCACTTCTCCTTCCAGAAACCACGACCCTCCACCTGGGTCTGCGCTGTGCCAGGTTGGCCTATACATCTTGAAGCATACTACAGCATCAAGAGAAACCCCCCACTTCCTCTAGTGATGCCAAATACTGAAATTTAGAGCCTGGTAAATGCTGATCAGGAGCCTACAATTTTTTTTCAGAAAGGGATTCAGTATGTTTATATACATATAATTGTAACACAGAAGCTAATCTGTAGGTAATGTTTGTACATTTAAGGCATCCTCTGCTCTGTTACACCTTTGCTCATGATTTTTTCCATAAAAAGTGAAATGTTATTATAGAATTATGGGATAAAAATTTCTGAGAGAGGAGTTAACTTCCAAGCTCTGAAAACCCATCAGAAACTTTGAGGGGAAAAAACGCCCACCGTAATTAGGGTAACCATTACTTAAAACTGAAATAAAAGAAAAAACTGCAATCAATCTACCCCATTTTGAAAAAATACAGTTCATATTAGACCACTGGTTCCATACTGGTTTCATTTTTCACAAATATTTGATTGCTCACATAAAAAGCGTATTATGTTCTCAGCCACGAAGTCCAAATCTAGAATTACTGCAGTATTTCCAAGGAGCACTCGGTATTTACATCTGGGTAGGTGGCAACAGATTTGCCTATGACTGCAAATTGTGATTTTTCATTAAAAAGGAAAACAAATAAACCCAGGTTTCCCCAATATAACAGTAGTTTGTGTTCAGAATAGACTTGCTTTGTGATTTCACAACTGCAAAATAAAGATAGCAGCAATTTCTCGTGTAACATGCAACACATTCTGTAGCAAGGGTTTAATTTACTATTTACATTTACCATTATGTAAGAAAAATAGCCTTATTTATTTGTTATTTCACTAACAAAGATGTTAATTCCCTTAGACAAATGCGTTTTAAATATTATTAGCCAGTGATGTTAAGCACCTAGAACTTCATTTTAACAGGAGCTGAGGAGACAGCAGCAGCAGCATTTTTTTCCTCGTGTCTGAAAATAACCTCAACATTTAGAAACTCAGAGGAGAAATTACATACCCAGACAATCTTAGACACTGTGACAGAAAATAAAGCAGTGAACACTCAGCAGAGATTAATTAGCAGCCAACCTCTGTGCAGCACAGGGAAAGCATGCCTATTCACCTGTTGGCATTTTACTTTTTTTTGTCAGCTATGGCTGCTCTGCAAACAATAAAGTCACAGTGGGCATTAGGAGCAGATACTTTATTTTCAGAAAAAAAACCCAAAAGTTGCACACGAGAGGTTGAAGTGTCCACAGCACCAGGGATGCTCACACATGGAGCAAGTACTGCCTGAGCAGCAGGAACCAAGGGATAGTATTTTTAAATGGAAATGGATGCTGTTAGCAACTCCCTACAGAAGTTTTTAATGGGAACCCTGATGGGAAATTAGGATAGCTTTAGATGAGGGGTAGATAACGTACTGAAAAATAGTTTTGAATTTATCACCATACTGGCTACCCAGTGAATGAAGAAAGGCATCAGGAAGAGGATTTTGGTCATTTATTTTCTCAGGATATGCGGGTCTGAGGAAGTTGGATGGGCACCGACACCTATGGCAAAACCCTGGCTGGGAACGAGCATGAAACCCCTAACTCTTGCACAGAGCTTGAAACTGAGACTGCACAGCCTGCTCACGGGAAGAGGGTTTAATGGTTTGATTAATCTCAGGAGCCCTATGGGACTTTCAGCCATCAGTAGAGAGACTCAAATAAGAAACACAGATGCAAAGATATAGCCCAAATAACATGTGATGTTGGGTCAAATTAGTCTACAATTTGCCTTTAACATATCTGTATTACTATAATAGTTGAAAAAGAAAAAAAAGGCTAGGTTTGCTGAGATGAAAGTACACAGCACAGTTTTACTATGCTATGGGCAGAATATATTCAGGAGCCTATGATGACACAGGAGATCTATAGACAGGCATAGAAATTCATCATAAATGTAACAGAAGTATTCATGTGAGGTATTTTGCTCTGTACATCTAATCTAATAACTACCCTATACTTCTAATCCTTAGGGCAGCGACTAAGACAAAAATTGGATTAATCTTGCCTAACTTTTGGTGCTTAATGAAGAAGCTTCTGTCAGAAGCACAGCTTTTCCAGGCCCCCTTGAGCTGATGCAGAGAGACAGGTACATTCAAGAGGTGAATCACATCACAGGAGGAAGAAAACTTTTGTTCTCCCATAGCTTAAGTGGGAGTTGTGGGTGACTATTTCTAGCTGAAGTCGTGCTAGACAGGATACATCTGCACCTCCTTACATTCAAAGTGATCGAGATAGTGACTGTCATACTTATCTCTTACAAAAAAAAAAAAATCTTAACATTTCATTGCCACTCCCTCCATATCTTCCTCCTATTCCTTCCTCCTTCTCAGCTCCCATGATCCACACACCTTCTCTGCCACACAGATAAGGAGGTGAGTCATTAGATAAATGAATGGAATAGAAGACACGTATACATTATCCAACTAGTTTCTTCCAAGGTATTAGAACACCATCAACCTACATGTATTTGAACTGGGTAACATCTTTGTGCAGCTTCTTAACCAAACAGATTGTGCATCTTATACAAATCCTCTGATACAGATCCACTTAATTCTAAACGTGAAGTGAGCAAAACTAGTAAGCATTTCCATTTTTTCCCCCTCTTTTACAGAGGAATAATTTGTTCCATAATCCAGCTGTCATCGTTCCTTCTTCTGTCTTAGCTCTAACAACTTTTGAAATTGTTTCTCCATTTAGACTCAAACATAATTAAGTCCCTTTAAGCTTTCGGAAAACTGCAGCTGGGTGGAGGATAGATATCGAAGTCAGCAGTGAAAAACATCAAAAGCACCGAAGATACTTCACGTCTCATTGTCTCCCCCTGCTCCTGCCTGTTCTGCTCAAGGAAAGCTTGAACAGGGGAAGAAGGGAAAGAACTAGAAAGTTAGGGTTCATAGATGAAGGGGCTGGCAGACACTGCAGGATAACAAAACCATCACGTCAGCACATGTCTTCATGCTTTTCTTGTTTGTGCATCAAAACAGTATTTTAAAAAAAATCAAAATAAATGCCAAATATCAAACCCCTAAACTCTTAGTCTACAAATTATTCTGTTTGGAATAGAAGGAAATCAAGTAAAGGAAATCAAGTGATTTTGGGGGTGTTGACATGATGCCTGAGCTCCTACCATGGATAATGTGTGCATTTAATACTAATTCCATGAAACACAGTTTTCTAGACCCACAGAAAAAGAGTAACGCCTGTTGCTATGCCAAGATAAAGTTCAGAAGCTGAAGGAAGGGCTGACCATTCACTTATACAAGCTCTCTACTGCCAACAGCAATGGAACTAGGCTGTTACTTCTGTGAGGACAGGAGTAGCCTGGGAGACATCAGAGCATTACAGAATTTGGTTTCTAGTATTAAAGCAAACCTAAATAAGAAAGAGACCATTTAGGTTACTTAAACCACTTCTGTCAAGAAAAAGCATACTCACTGCAACGCTTGGTATCCTACACAGTCCTACAATGGTGAACTTCAAACTCAATTATTTTGGTTTGTTGTAAAACATATTTAGAGAGCTGTTTCAAAGGCATATAGTATATATTAAACTATTTTCTGGATATGGAAAATATACACAATAGTAACTACTGAAAATGGTTATATTACAAGACTACTAGTACGTACCACCGGCTGTTTGGTTATGTCCACCAGGTCTTTAATGTTGTAATACTGATGTTTCTCAAAGGCTGAAAAAAGCATGTCCAACACTTGTTGTTTATCAGCTCGAGCCCGTTTTCCATCTTCTTTCTTCTTCTTCTCATATTCAATCTATCAGATACAAAACAAGTTTTAAAGACATTCATATGTAATGCTGTATAATTCTGTGCTGAACATTAAGACATAAAAAAACGTCTTCTATTTAATAAAACACTGTTCAATGACTCAGTGCTTTTCATCTGGAAAATTTTCTTTTCAGCACTCAAATGTTCTATTATGAACATAAACTAAGCATTTTGTCCTCAGCACAATAAGTTTTTCAGATATGTATCTCTGCTTTAACTAGTAAAAAAACCCAGAAACAGAGCCTGCATGATGTGCCCAAACCTGGAGAGAGAATTAATCTTAGTACAGGAATCCAAACTGAGACAGTATTTTCACTCCACCTCTGCTGATATCAGCTTCTGAAGTATAATGACAGATATCAAACAACCTACAAATTGCCATAGTCGGGAAAATCCACAGACCAACATGGCTACATCCACAATCCTAACAATCACCTGCCCAAAGGATGCTTAAATGGCCCTTGGACACTGCCTCCTCTGCTCTAGAAACAGCACTCAAGGCAACCACTCCGTCAATATAAAACCAATCTTCACCAAGTGAAGACACACTTCGAGGATGCGGATGGTATCTCTTCAGGAGAAGCCTGAGTAGCACACATAAAGTTACAGTAGTCTAAAAAAAAAAAAAACAACCTTCCAAGCAAATAGAGGCCCCTTGTTGCCACACATCATCCTGTTTCAGAATGCATATTAAAAAGTAATTAACTATTATAATCTGCACAAGATGACCATATATTTTTGCAGAAACTTTTATCGCCGCCAAAAATACTTCCTGCATTTCCTCAGATTCATCATCAGAAGCAAGATTTGCACAGACCAGCACACCCCAAACAAACCCCAATCACCGCAACATCTACCAGCTCATCACCCCATCCACCCCCAATACCACCCTAGATAACAGAAAGCCTAGAAATGAAAATTCACAGTTCTACTGTATACTAAAAATCTTATTTTTAAGAAGAGAGATTAGTTTTATGGCACAATTTATTTTTTCCTATGTTTCTTTGCCAGCTAACTCCCTCCTACTCTCTGAGTGAAAATAGCCTGTTCTCTTGGTATCTGTCCCAAAGGCGCTAAAGGCTATTACCACTTTTGCCATTCCTCACAGGTCTCTGGCCAGCCAACTCTCTCTTTCAAATCCTGAAACAGATGTACCTCATTAAATTGAATGCAGAGCAATTATTCCCAACCTGTAGCTTGAAGTCTGTTGCTTCTGCTTAAAACCAAAGATGAGCTTGGGCAACCAAATACTTGCCTGCTTTTCCAACTGTTTGTTAGTGTTATACAAGATGCAACCTCTCCACACAAACCCACACAACTGATTTTTATCCACTAATACACGTTGGTGTAATTATTTAACTCTTCAGACTCTGCATTTAAAAAAAAATAAATCTTCAAAACAGTAATAGCTTTGCAACAATAGCAAACTCTAGCATCAAGTAAAACAGCTTCACAGTACATCATCTTGGTTGCCATGATCTGCAGCAGAACTGCTGTGCCACAGAAACTAGAGTAGGAACATAAATCTAGAACATTGACCTTGCTATTAACGATAGCGTATCAAAACATTTGCTTCTTCTGAAAGTACAACAGACAATTCATTAGGAATCTCTGTTGACCGTGAGAAGGTTTTAATTGTAAGCTGTGGATTCAATTTCTCTGTCTCTACTGGTATAGTCTCACTATGCAGTGTAATGCAAGTAGGCTGCATCTAGTCGTAAACGCACGAAGTAGAATTGCAATGGCGTTGAAATATATATGAACAAGTCTACTCAGCTGACACTCTTAAAAACTCCAAACCCAAAATACCAAGCAGCATGGCCAGGGTGTGCTCTGCCTTGCAACTCCACCAACACAGCACCTGGCCAGTTCTCTACTGGGTATATTCACATAGTCATACAGGTATTGGAGAAGTAGGGAAAATCTCATTCACCTAAAAGTCTACTATGTGTCTACAACACTACCCATGTCCTGGTAGGTGAGCAAGGGTTTCTCTATGAAGCACTGAAAGAAATTATACAAAGAGTGGGAAGTAGGGGGAGACTGGCCCTTTGCTGCATGAAATGTCGGATGAAATAGGAGATACGTGAGAGTGCTTGTCTCTTCTGCTACGTGCAAGATCAGCAATACACTAAATCGACTGTTTGATTGCCAAAAAGTTCTTCGCATCTTATCTTCATCTGATCTGACACTAGTCAGTTTGCGGCATTAAAAATGCTTTTAATTTACACCTGGCTTACGTCAGAACTTACTAAGATATATGATGAGCATTTATATTTTTCCTGACAGAGAAACCATCTCTCCAGAGCAATCATCTGCTCCCACTGTCATGTTCTAACTCAGTGCAATGGCGTAGGGCCTTGCTGCAAGGACGTGGGTGCATCCTGAGGACAGTGAAATATGCAAGGTTTAAGACATGCATTTTAAATTTATTTTAGTATGATAGCTATCCCTTTGGTCTTAAAAAATACATGAATATGTCACATCTCAGGCTACAGTCTAAAGTTGATACTTCATGCTAGCACTGAAAAGCACATGTTATGATCAGAATCTAATTACACTGTATATTTTGGAAGTCACATTTCCATCTACAAGACCAATTTGGGTTTCTATTTTCTAATATTATTTGGATTTGAAAACTGCTTCTTTGCTTTTTAAGCTGGAGAGAGACAAAGGGCAAACCCACTGTCCCATAAGTAATGAGACTGACAGTGCTTCGAATAAATGAATAAGATCATCACAAAGTATGGCAGTATCATCATTTGACATGAAACAAAACCACGGTAGAGAAATTACCTGGCATGCACAAAGTTGCAGACAGCGCCATGTTACATTGTGTCTTCAGAAGAAAATGAGTCAACAACAGCAACCCAAACGTTATTAAAAATAATCTAATCTAGCTGAGTACAACAAATATTTTTTGGTCCTGTTTGAAAACTGCTCCACATTTTTTTCTCTTTGGTATTTCATAGTCAAACATGGGAATTACTGTCCCGTAGGATATATTGTACGTTTCCTTCCACATAAGAAGGAAAGCAGGAACTACAACTTTATGGGATCCTCCTCAAAAATCAAGACACTGACACTATGTTCTCCTGGAAGCAGAGTTTTCTAATTAGCCACTATAATCAACTTCCGTGGCCTTTCTTGAGCCTGAGTTTTCAGCCTTTTTTGACTCAGGGATCCAAAGAATTTTCCAGTTTCTCTGTGCAGTTGCTGATCAGGTCACGGCTGATACTGGTAAACAACATTCTGCCGGATTTTCAGTAAAGCCCTACTGCATTTGAGACATTGGCTTATGGAAGACTAGGACTGGGGACTTAATAATGTTTTGAATATATGCACATGTTAACATTTTACAAGAGGAGGAGACGGATTATCCAGCCTTAATTTGTTGCCAGAAAAGCTTCCGATACTTTAGAGGTCAAGTTTGGAAGATGGTAGGAGAGGCGAAGGCATCTCTATTTGCCTGAGTGAGTTCTGGGTTCCTGTGTACATTTGAGGTCACTTTTCAGTGTAAAGGCCTATGTGTTTCTTTTTAAGCTTAGCAACTTTTCTCTGACTCAAAAACACCAGCTGAAAGATGCGTTGTGAAAGATAAAGACAGCCGGTTACAGGCAGCATCACTCTGCCTCAGCAGCAGCTATTATGCCTGTTCTTACCAACCCTTTTGCAATTTTCTACCTCCCCAGACAACAAAACCAAAATGAACAAGATGAAAAACAGAAACAGAAACAAACTGCAGCCTCCTCGGGTGGAAGGTCAAGCTGAAATGATGGAAGAAACCCATCTCCTCCTTTTCTGGTTTTTGTTTTGTTTTTAAGGAGCAAGAACAAGAGCGAAGCGCTGAGGTTATTCCTTCTGTCCGTGGCAGAGCTACAGGAATAACAGGTAAGTAACATGGGCGTAATGGGAAAAGCTACTGGGACTCTCGAGACAATCTCTGAGAACGACAACAAAAAATCCATGGTACTGTTTGTACCTCTTCAAAAGACATATAGTGAAAAGGTGCTTAGCCAGCGACTAGCTACGAGCTACAACTCTCTCCACGTGGAGAAAAAAACTACTCGCTTTCAAATTGATGCTTCCTACGCAAAGGAACAAAGTAACATAAGGAAATTCTCAACATTATCTTCACTAATGTTAAGCCTGCGACAAGACTATTTCATGACTGGGTATAAAATCCTAATTATACGAGTAACAGTCTCCTGAAAAATAACATGAAGTTGTCTTTTTAACCAAAGCACAATCTTTTTTTTTTTTGCTAGTAAATAGTAATGCCCAGCATTCTTCTTTCTCTGTTATTTTAGTGCCTTGGTACACTCCCCAGTAGGAGCTTCTATTTTACCTTCCCTGTATGAGCTACAGTAAATCAAGGAGGAGTGTTTGTATTCCCTATACAAATGCGATGTGAATATTCTAATATTCTTAATTCATTAATGTATAAAAACAACTCGCACAGAAAACTGAATATCAAACCCCCCCTTTGTTGAAAAATTATTTGCAGCTGGCATCCCAGTTGCCCACATTTTAATTAGCAACACTCCAGCATTTCCCTCCAACTTCAGCAACAGTTCCACTGTTGTCTAAAAACACAGAGCGCATTGTGAAGTGCTATTTAAAAAAAAAAAAAAAGCACGGTATCTGTTGCTGTTTTCTTCTTTTTGTCTTGTGAATACACTGCTCATAGCAGATTACAATGCAGCCTTTCATTTTTTTTCCTTCCTGTTTTCTTTGCAAACAGGATGCTTTATGCAGTAGGCTTAAAGCACTTTTTGACAGTCGTATTACAAAATGCATGTACATTGTAAACTAATTAGATTTATTTAAAATTGTGTGGTTTTAAATTTTAAAAGCATTAAAATATGATTTGCTTTCAAGGAAGGACCAGTTTAGAACAAGCTGTCGAGTGTAGAAATCGTGAGTTTATCCCTGCAAGACTTCATACAGAAATCAATTTCTCTTTGTTTACCTTCCCAAGATGTTGCTAAGCTTGCTGAAAAGCTGCAAAAATTGCCTTCTTGAAGGCATCATTAATACTGAAGCTGTATTACACAGTAGACAGCTAATACAAAGGTGATAGAGAAGTGAGACTAAATCTGAAGTTTCATCTAAAGATGTTTGAAAAAGTCTTAAAGGTTTTCCCATCTCCCAGAGCAGGGGTACAAACCTCTATAGTACAGGAAAGTGGGAAGTGGGGAGACCACAAAGAAGCCTCTGAAGGGGTAACCAGGACCATTAGAGAACTTTTCTGCTGTGTCACAAAAAATAATGAAGTCACAGAAAGATCCCAGCTGCAAGAACATTAACATTGCAACCTTTTAAAGACATGTATCATCTACAAATATACAAAAAATGAGGGTCCCTTTCCGAGAGAAGAAAAGCTAAGTTACAATCCTGGCATATATTGTAATGGAATTGCAATTTCTTCTAATAAAAGCGTGGGTTTAATATAATTTCTTGCAAAAAAAAAAAATCACTTCCCTGTCCTTGTATTCCAACAAGATATTGCTATTTCTTTCCATCCTCCTTTCTGTTATATGTTCATTTAGGGGTACATGGAGCAGCCACACTTAAGCCCCATTTCATAATATTCTATCATATCTTCCTTCAGGAAATTTTACTCCTTTCTTTCTTAGCAGATGCTCATTCTTCCCTCAGAAACTCCCCTGGAGATGACCGAATGCATCAGCATGTACAGTAGTTCGTACATTTTTTTTTTTTCTTCTTTGCTGTGAAAAGTCCCCAACAGGGCTGTCATATGATTACAAGCAATACAGCAAGTTTTAAGAAAGCAACTGCTGCTTGAGAACACCAGACAAATTTAACCAAGAGGTTTAAAAAGTTCACGGACACATTCTCCCAGTTGTACACCCTTTCAGCCATCTAACCAGAACCTTAATAAAAGACTTAATGAAAAGAAAGGTGTTGTAGAAAGTAGTCATTCCTGGGCCTTTCGAGTCAAGGCATGGCCAAGAGTGGCTCAAGTGTAAGTATGTCCTACTAGATTTTTCCCATCAGAACACCTTTAAGGCAGACATGAAAAGTAAACACACTGCCGATGGATTTCCATTAGCATGGACAGCTATGTAACCGCTAAAAACATTACAATTAGGACACAAGAGCATCATAAATTTTAAGAAGCCTGGTTACAACCTAGTTATACCCACTGAATCTCACACAAGACTTAAATTTCTGTAATGATTCAACAACAGCAGTTTGCAACTGGAGTAAAGATTCAAAGATTGTCTCCAGGTTGAAGTCATACTGTTGTAATTACGCCAGTGTCAGCGAAATGGCACATAATCTCACTAAAAAGAGACGCTGTATATCACCGTAGCTTATTCCAGAATTAAAGGAGGAGAGTAACAGTAGCATCATAAAACAATATACTCATATAAAACTGCATTTGCATAGCAGGATATACCAGTGTGACTATTTTGGTTAAATGTCATTCCCTTAGCTGAAATAGTTATATTGGTATGATCATCTATGTATAGATCAGACTTTGAACAGTAACTACTACAAAACAGTCCCATGAGAGAGAAAGGATTATTTTTGGTTCTGTGGAAATAGACTGCCTTTCAGAATAATGCTTAAATATCATCCAGTATATTGTCATTTGTTTTATGTAAATAAAATCTTAATAAAAAGTGTAAAAGTTTAAATGACTAACACAGTGACTCATTTTCAGTATGACTTAACGTTTCTCACATTCAACAGTAACAGCGATTATATATGCATACATACAAATTACTCAAAGAGGATCTTTAAGAAAAAGGACATTATAGTTTGTATGTACATCAACTGATCTGGAACAGCAGTGTGGGTGTAATATTGACAAAGCTAATGATGCAAATACCACGTACTATGAAGGTACGAAACTGTGAAAAATTATCAGCTGTTATTCTTTTCTACTTGTTGTCTGTTCCCGCAAAGGACTAGAAACTAATGATTCTTTTCAAGTCTTTTATCCACCTCCATATGATATTTTATTTGGCTCAAGGGAGTGCTTCCACGTCTCATAGCACAAAGCCAGAACTGCCTTTTATCCCCAAATTTCAAAATTACATTTTAAAAGAAAAGACTAGAGGAAGATCATAATAAAGACACCAGAAAAGGCTTGGGTGAAGGTGGTCTGCCCTCCATCAGGTAACACAAGAAAGTTAGAATTGGCAGACCTTAGCCCCAAGGGTGATGTTGGTCTTGAGACAGAAAGAAGATCCCCAGAAGACAAAATAAGGGAAAAAACAGATAACGTGGAACATTTCCAAAGACAGTGGCCAACTACGAGCAAAAGGGTTGCAGAGCAGCAGCACAGTGATTCTGGAGTCCTGAGCCAGATTCCTGGCTAGGAGAATAAGGGAAAATACTGAAAGCTACTTACATTATATTGATGATTAGCCACTGGTTTATAGTTCGTGGTTACGGCTTTGTCCAGCTGCTGTGATAGCCTTACAGGTTTAGAAGATTCTTCTATCTGTAATCTGCAAAAGAAAAGAAGAGAATTAATAAGAAGTTCAGACAAGCACAAACTCAAAATGAATTCTAAAAATCTGCAAGTATGAACCAGCCCTTACCAAAGGTCAGCTGCAAACAAATCATAAGGTAAAAGAGTAACTTAACTCTTCTGAATTAAGTTTTTGCCACTCTATTTTTGCTCAAGGACACTGTGGATTATTACAACAGTATATGCTAGAGAAGATACTGAAATACTAAAAACCAAGCAGCTGTGAAGGGAAGATACTAAAAACCATGTCCGAACACAAATTTTATTCCAAAAGCCTGATACTCGGTGGAAGAAAAGCCCATGCTCTTAAAAAAGATGAACAAACCCAAATGAACCCAGAATCTCCCAGCTTACTCAGCTGAGGGCTGAAAAAGCTTTCAATCCACCTCTGCTGACTCCCAGAGCACAGCGAAGATCACACTCCATGACCTCTTGCATATTTTAATGTAAAAATATAAAATTCTGTGACCTTTCTTCTGGTATTATAGCAGAGTAACAGAGCACAAATAACTGTTTTATGAGCACTTTTAAAAACTTGAAGACAGAGAAATCCACCTGGGAAGGGACCTTCAAGATCATCTAGTTCCAACCCCCCTGCCCCGGGCATGGATGCCTTCCACTAGACCAGGTTGCTCAAAGCCCTGTCCAGCCTGGCCTTGAATACTTCCAATGATGGGGCATCCACAGCTTCTCTGGGCAGCCTGTTCCAGTGCTGCACCACCCTCATAGTGAAGAATTTCTTCTTCATATCTACTCTAAATCTACCCTCTTTCAATTTAAAGCCATTACCCCTTGTCCTATCACTACATGCCCTTGTAAAAAGTCCCTCTCCAGCTTTCTTGTAGGCTCCCTTCAGGTACTGCAAGGCTGCTGTAAGGTCTCCCTGCAGCATTCCCTTCTCCAGGCTGAACAACCCCAACTCTCTCAGCCTTTCCTCATAGGAGAGGTGCTTCAGCCCTCTGAACATCTTTGTGGTCCTCCTCCGGACTTGCTCCAACAGGTCCATGTCCTTCTCATGTTGGGGGCTCCAGAGCTGGATGCAGTACTCCAGGTGGGGTCTCACCAGAGCAGAGAGGGAAAATCACCTCCCTCGACCTGCTGGCCACGCTTCTTTTGATGTGGCCCAGGATACGGCTGGCTTTCTGGGCTGCAAGCACACATTGCCAGGTCACGTTGAGCTTCTCATCAACCAACACCCCCAAGTTCTTCTCCTCAGGGCTGCTCTCAATCCATTCTCTGCCCAGCCTATATTTGTGCTTGGGACTGTAATCAAGTCTCAATCATACAGTTAACAAAAGGTGACCCTTACTTCTCTTTGGGAAAGACTCTGAGAAGGTCAGAGGTTGAACACATTCTGTCAAGCTCACCCCTATGTAATTTAAAGCTTATGTATGATGGTGTAGAAGGAATGCTCCACTTCAGGTTTAGCACTCAAGAATTACTACTTGAAACGATGATGCACAAAACCAAGCTTTAGAAAGGTACAGGACAATGTCCCTTCAGAGAAAATATCTTAATGGCACATACAATTAATATTGAGATAAAACTCAGTTATCATCAGTGACGTTATTTTATTTCCAAAGGTGTGGCTTGTAGGCAGAAGGATCAATTTTCACTAAACACAATATAAGACTTATAGCTCAATAAATATACAGTGATGTTTGCTTCTTTCCAAAGAAAAATTAATATGGTGACATTAATGCAAATAATAACTACATGTTTACTAATGTAAAACACAAAAGTGATATAACAGGCAATACTTTAAAAAACACTGTAAGTGTCTGAGATCACTGATTTCTTTTTGTAAAAATATAATGTACACCCAAAAAAGTAAATTTAAATTCAGCATGCTTCTGTTTTAACACCTGAACAACCGAAATAAATTACATTTGAGCTAAGCATTAAATTCAGAAATAAATTCTGTAGTTGTAGCAACTGGAAATAAAGCAAATCATCCTTCATAGCTAGTATTGCTGGACAGTAATTGCCTGCAGTTTTGTCTCATACATAAAGTTGCTTCCTCTTGAAACTTTGTAGATTTGTCATTTGTTCTATAGTTTTAATTACCCTTAGGCGACCCTTGCCTTGTATTTTCCATTTCTAAATCAGAAGAAGGTACATCAGTGCTTTCTTCTGTCCAAATGTAGCACATTTTTTCATAGCTTGAAGGAAAATCAATCGGAAGGTAAATGAGCAGTGAACAGTTTTTACTCCTGTTCTGGCAAATAAAGGTAGAAGTTTTTATCACAAGAGTTTATCTTTTGGCCTTCAATCTAATTAAAGAATTTTAAAGATTTTATTGATCTGGTTACCAAAGGTCTTCTAAACTCAAGTTTCACAAAGAGGCACAGGCTAAAACTAAATCAATACCTTTTCTCCAAATCTGTCTTTTTCTCCACTTCTTCATTGCTTGTTTTTTCTTCTTTTTGGTCTCAATGACTTTTTTTTTTTTAATTTTAAAAATAAAAGCCTGGTTATATAGTTTGGTTTTATTTTTTTAAAATATCTTTTCTTGCAGTTCTTTGCCATTTTTCCTATTTTTTGATCTGGGGAGTTTTCCAGTCCTCCCTCTATCCCACTGTAGCTATTTTTCACCTCACTTCTTCCCTCTCACACTTCTCCTTTCCGTAAAGGATGCAGAGATACATTTCCTGCTCTAAACCTCTTTACTGATGTTGCTCCTGTTCATGAGACATGGCCTCCTAGAAATGAACTGGGAATTCTTGTCTCTCCTTTCCCCTTCAGGCCACTGCACCACCCTCTTCTTCACATGGACCAGATTTAGATATTTGTTTAGCGATGTTGTTCCAGAGTCCGTCTCATTACAGCTGCAGCACAGGTAAGCGATAAACAAGGTTCGTAACAATACTGAAATACATCAGATGGTCTCCCGTTCTCGGGGAGTGCTAGGCTTAGAATGGTGGCATTTAATCTCCATGATTAAATCCTCCTTGCACCGGGCTTTATATTCTTTACTCTTAACAACGTAAATTTGCAATAGCCTCCATTTCTTCAGGAGAACGGCCAAAGAACATTAGCCCTTCAATGATGAAATGCTAGAACACCAAAAATATGGATTGAACACCTCAGACTGTCCTCAGAAGGAAAAGTTTTAGAATGGTGATGTCAACCCTCCTCCAGCTTCTTAATAAATTAGATGTTTAAGCGTGCAAACAAGGGATAGCTCTTTAGCCTAGAGCCTGTCATGAACTTTGGACACCACTCAGTGTTGAAGGTCTCTTCCTGTTCTGGCATTTTAAAATTACAATACAGGAAATTTCATCACCCATTTCAGTGCAGCTTCCATAAATTAATCCTTCTTTGCATAAAACAACACCAGCAAATTATCTCTTAACATTTTTCACTTGCCATGCAGGATATGCATTTCAGTTTTTTTATTTTAACCTGCTAATTTCCAAACCAGTAGAAAACCAAATGTGTAGGAGAATTAATGCACTTCCCACAGGCCTCCAAAGGTTGACGGCAGTGAAGTTACATTTAACACGTGAAGTTCCCCAGCACACAGTCTTGAAAGCAAATTAAAACTTCTTGCCTGCTTAGGAAACGGGATGGGAGCCTACCAAGTGAAAATGGAAACGGAAAATCTAAGTTGGTTTGTGAAATGACTGAAGATTTCAGAAAGATCTACATGTACCAACCAACAAATATATCAGCTACAAATGTACACATCTCTGAAGGAAATTTCAGAGATATCCCTGTTGCACTTCAAGGTTTCTTGCCAAAGGTTTCCAAATTACCACCCACAGATCTCAGATGGTCTTTAGAAAACTGGCTAACAGTACAGTGCTAACTTTTTTCCCATCCCTAGTTGATAAATTACTGCAGTCAGAACTAAAAATACATTACATCCCGGGTATTACTTTTTAATACAAGCAATTACAGCAGTTGCCACATGCCAGTATGGAAATCTAAATGGGAAGCACAGTGACTTGGGAGGCAAACCTTTTTATTAACATGCATTTATTCTACACATGCATCTTGCTCTTCTCCCTAATGGCTGCTCTTCTCATTTCTTTTTCTGCAGCTTTCAAGATCTCCTGGAGAATGACAGAACCTCATGTTGCCTTCCTTTCACCAGGCTTCCATGTGGAATATGGTCACACAATCCTATGTGGAACAACAGCTGCTGCACCTCTGGAGTTAGCCTCCCCAAAATGCACAAATACAGGTAAAGGGTCTGACAAATGTGGAATATACCCCAAATTAGCAAATGGTTTATGTGTGGATGAAGCACTGAAATTGCTTACTGCATTACAAACAGTAAAGACAAATAGCCTGTAATAATTTTGTCCAGATGATTTGTGGGTACAGATACTGTTTGCAGGGAAAATAGGTTGTGGGGGTTTTTTTCAAAACCATGCCATAATTCTCCCTTATTCAGAAAGTAGTATGTCTAGGTGAATATATTTGACTTTTTAAATTTGTATAGCTGTTGTTTGGAAAAAAGCTGATCAAATATATATTTATACGTTCTAGTAATTATATGCTCAAAAATTTATAACAAAAGCTACAAATTGGGCATTATATTAGCCTTTTAGACCAATGTTTTACTGTGTTACAGATATTATTACTTTTCAATGCTCATTTCTTAAACAGAATTTGCAAAGCAGTATTAAACCAAAATATTATGAGGCGTTTTATACAATGTTTTCTCAGAGTGGATCTGCCGAATCTTAATTGAAATTGTTGTTAGGAATAAAGAAAAAAAAATCAATAAATATTCTGAGTCACTGGTGACACTGATTTAAAGGAGCAGTGGCTTTTTACCTATTACTCTTTATTATGATTTGCAGGAGTGTGACAGTTAAAAGCCTTAGTTATGGCTCAGAACTGCACACAACTCTCCAAGGAGTTGAATTTTCCACTTGACTCTTATTGAAATAGCTAGCACCATAATTCATGCTAATATCCAGCCTAAAACATAAAAAGAGAATGCAGGTTTTTTTCTCAAATCTG